TGAGGACAATACCTCTTTCAGATCTGAGTTGTCCCCTCCTCACCCCTCCATCTCCCTCCATCCCTCGCCCCTTCCTTCCTTCCTTCTTCCTTCCTTCCTTCCTTCCTTCCTTCCCTACCTTCCCTCCCTCATCTATCCTTTCAGTTTTCTGCCTGTCTCCATTCCGTTCTCCTTTACCTCCCCTCTCTCTCTCCTATCTCATCTCATTTACTTTCTCTCTCTATCTATCTCTTCTTTCCCTTCTTTCACCCTTTACCTCTCCCTCTCTTCCTGTTCTTGGGTGAGATATGAAGAAGTCACCCCCAATGAGACATAGAAAACGAGAATGTCAACACAAGGGCAATAATGGCGGGAAAGACGTGTCAATTTTCTGAGGAGGACGAGGGTCAATTTGTCTTCCTTCTTCTTCTTCTTCTTCTTCTATAGCTTAAATTTCACCGTAAAGAACTGGAGGTTTTAGTTATTTAGGAAATACTACACACACACACACACACACACACACTACTCATTCCTCACAGGTGTACATTTATGACTAATTCTTCACAGGTGTACATATGTGACTCATTTTTGACACTTATGACTAATGAATATTGTGTACGAGTATGTAACCTAGTGAAGAATTGTTATACAGTGAGCTCTCTCTTTTTTTTTTTTTTTCTCTCTCTCTGTATGTCTGTCTGTCTGTGTTTCTCTTTTTCTTTGTGTTTGTCTGTCTGTCTGTCTCTCTGTCTCTTTCTCTGTTTTTCTTTTATCTTTGTCCCCCTCTGTCTGTCTGTCTGTCTGTCTGTCTAGGCCCTGGGAAAATACATATATTCCACACCGTCACAAAAATAATCACAGTCTGACGATAATGGTAAGAGAGTATACTAAACGAGACCATTTCTCTCTATTAACGATCAAAACAAACCTCTAACAGTCTAACACCATTAAGAAAAAATACCCTCGATATACGCCACAACAATTAGAAACATCATCGAAAACCAGTGAAACAAAACTACTGCAAATAATCTTCACTAACACAGATACAGAAAATTCCCTTAATATATCGTTCTTTATCCATCTTATCAACGTTCAGTGATATTTCCCTTAAATGGAAAATAAGGATGGAAAAAAAAAATCTGGGAAAAAATAAACGATACAAAACGGTGGTCTATTTTCGTCTCCATTGCATAAAGGACATTGAGGTTAAAGGAAGTTGAGATCATATTAACCTTTATTTACGAGTGTCTTTGGGTCGTGAATCCTTCGTGGTAGTGTGAGGGGAAGGAACGCGACGTCTTTGTTGACATTGGGAGGAGAGAAGGGGGGTGGGGTGGAGGGGGGGTTATGACTCCGCCCACCTCAGGCTGACACACTTACGAATTTTAGAAAAGTTAATTAAACTCGAAGAATGAACCACAAGAAATGGGTATACTGGCCTAGACATGGTTGAGGTAGGGTTGTGTTTTCAGGGAGGAGAGCTAGGTCAGGTGTGCTGAGGTAATGACAATAATTAATATATATTTACCAGAAATTGAGAAAGCTACGTGTAGTTGTATATGTGTTGTCATGTGTATGTTTCTGTGTGTATGGTTGTCGAAGTTAATTTGTGTAAGTTTATATAAAGAACAAGTACTGGTGGTATTATTATTATTATTATTAGTAGTAGTAGTAGTTACAGTGGTAGTAGTGGTAGTAGTTATAGTGGTAGTAGTGGTAGTAGTTACAGTGGTAGTAGTGGTAGTAGTTACAGTGGTAGTAGTGGTAGTAGTTACAGTGGTAGTAGTGGTAGTAGTTACAGTGGTAGTAGTTACAGTGGTAGTAGTGGTAGTAGTTACAGTGGTAGTAGTGGTAGTGGTTGTAGTGGTGTTGGTAGTTGGTAGTAGTTACAGTGGTAGTTGGTGGTGGTAGTTGGTGGTGGTAGTAGTTACGGTAGTGGTAGTAGTTGCGTTGGTAGTATTACAGTGGTGATTACAGTGGTGGTAGTGGTAGTAGTTACAGTGGTAGTAGTGGTAGTAGTTACGGTGGTAGTAGTTACAGTGGTAGTAGTTACAGTGGTAGTAGTTACAGTGGTGGTAGAGGTAGTGGTAGTGGTGGTAGTAGTTACAGTGGTAGTAGTGGTGGTAGTAGTTAATTGGTAGATTGCAGTGGTAGTAGTGGTTAGTAGTTACAGTGGTAGTAGTGGTGGTAGTTACAGTGGTAGTAGTGGTAGTAGTTACAGTGGTAGTAGTGGTAGTAGTTACGGTGGTAGTAGTAGTTAAGTTGTAATTGAGGTGAGTAGTAGTTACAGTGGTAGTAGTTACAGTGGTAGTAGTGGTAGTAGTTACAGTGGTAGTAGTGGTGTAGTTACAGTGGTGTTGTTTGGTGGTAGTAGTTACAGTGGTAAGTTACAGTGGTAGTAGTTACAGTGGTAGTAGTGGTAGTTTGGTAGTAGTGGTAGTAGTTGGGTGGGTGGTGGTAGTAGTAGTAATAATAGTAGTAGTTACAATTTTAAGTCAGAAAAAAAATGTAGGTTATAGAAAATGGAAGTGTGTGTCCCGTAGACTTAACTAAATATCTCTGTCCTTGCCTGTTGTTTTGTTATGTGGGTTCAATTGACCTCAACTTAGATCATGTTAACTCCTTTCTACCTCACGTTTAAGTCGGTTTCAGTGCTGTACGATAGCTTGGACAGGATGACTGGCAGGCAATAGGGTGTCTCTCCTACTCCTCCTTCCTTGCACAACTGCGGACGTATGAGTTACAATTTTAAGACTTTCAAATGGAAGTTACTGTCATATTTCAACATTTAGATGCAAGCTACTGTCATATTTCGACCTTTAGATGCAAGTTACTGTCATATTTCGACCTTTAGAGGCAAGTTACTGTCATATTTCGACCTTTAGATGCAAGTTACTGTCATATTTCGACCTTTAGATGCAAGTTACTGTCATATTTCAACATTTAGATGCAAGTTACTGTCATATTTCGACCTTTAGATGCAAGCTACTGTCATATTTCGACCTTTAGATGCAAGTTACTGTCATATTTCGACCTTTAGATGCAAGCTACTGTCATATTTCGACCTTTAGATGCAAGTTACTGTCATATTTCGACCTTTAGAGGCAAGTTACTGTCATATTTCGACCTTTAGAGGCTAGTTACTGTCATAATTCGACGTCACTTATCACTAAGAGTTAGCCTGGGTGGGAGGGGGCAAAGAGCAACATCATCTCACAGGCAAATACTGACGAGGAAGAGCCGCAGTTGTCCTATAGACGCCCCACCGAGAGGCTTACAGGGAGAGACAGAGATATAGGTAGATAAATAGATAGATAGATAGATAGATAGATAGATAGATAGATAGATAGAGACTTCAATAGAAAAAAATAATCGTAATTTTCCCAGCTAATATAGAGAAAAAATTTTTTAAACATTGTAAATTCTCCGGAAGAAAATTTTCACCATAGTTCACGTGTATAAGTGTATATATACGCCCGGAGGTGTGAGTGCATCTATACCGTAAAAAGAGCCATAAACACCACACCTTAAGTCTACTAAAAGAGGATTAAAACCAATATAATACACTCTTAGGTTGAAGACGAGGTGCCACGAAGAGCCCTAATATAGTGGAGTCTCCCCTCTTATACCATACGTTTTCTTTCATACTTTTTTTCTTTAAGTTCAACCCTGAAGGAATTTTTATTTTATAGTTTTATGTAAATTTTGATATTTTTTTTAAGGGAATATTTTTGTGTTTTATAATCTTCATCATCTGGTTTATTAAAAAATGAAATATATGTAGTGAATAATGATGGAAATAGTGACAGAGACAGACAGACAGACAGACAGACAGACAGACAGACAGACACTATAACTCATCACCATCATAAACAAATACTTATCATTCACCTCTCCATTTCCTCTTCAATTTTCATAACACATTTCGTGGTGGGTGATGATGAGCGTCTATAAAGAGATGATTTTACCCCCCACGTACATAACACACACACACACACACACACACACACACACGAACTATATAGATATGAAAAAAAACGTTATATCGTGAATCCGTTATATATGAAACTCCCCCTTCTAACGGACTATGTATAGGGGAGTCCGTTATATAGAGGTTTCACTGTATACGAAGCAGCAAAAAATGTGCTAATCCGACACGCCCTTATCCGGCTTCCTCACTGTCCGTCAGGCTGTCTAGTGCGGCGTTGTCTCCTGTGTGTTTAGTTATCGTACGTCTGGCTGTGATGTTATCGTACGCCTGGCTGTGATGTTATCGTACGTCTGGCTGTGATGTTATCGTACGCCTGGCTGTGATACGTCTGGCTGTGATGTTATCGTACGCCTGGCTGTGATGTTATCGTACGTCTGGCTGTGATGTTATCGTACGCCTGGCTGTGATGTTATCGTACGTCTGGCTGTGATGTTATCGTACGCCTGGCTGTGAAGTTATCGTACGCCTGGCTGTGATGTTATCGTACGCCTGGCTGTGATGTTATCGTACGCCTGGCTGTGATGTTATCGTACGCCTGGCTGTGATGTTATCGTACGTCTGGCTGTGATATTATCGTACGTCTGGCTGATATGTCATCGTACGGCAGAGATAAGACGTAAGAATGATAGCGTCGCCACATAGGTCAATTCCCCGCCATTTTTATCGACCTTTTCAACTTTTTATGATTTTTTATTTATTTATATATTTTTTAATTGTTGTGGTATTCAAGTGATGTATTTGGCTCAATAGTGAAGGAAAGCTTAGCGAACCAGTGTAGTTAAGTGGGCGTGGTAGTTGGGAGGTTAATTGGTGGTTTTATTTGTATTTAAGCAGTTAATGATTCAGTTTATGTATGTTGTGTGTGTGTGTGTGTGTGTGTGATGTTACGTTTGTGTTTTTGTGAGTATTGTTATAAAGTATTCTCATAGACTATTGTGAGAGAGAGAGAGAGAGAGAGATACAAGCCTCTCTCTCTCTCTCTCTCTTTTCTTTATCTTATCTAAGTCATAGTTCATCTTCACTCCCGCAGGCGACGCTGACGCAGGCTACCCCTCTGATGGTGACGATGATGATGATGATGTGGGTCTGCCGCTGCTGCTGATGGTGACGATAGTGAATGACGAAGAGATTCTTGAAAGGTTTGGATGATGATGTTTGGAGTTGTGATGGTGGTGATAGTTGTAAGTGATGGTGATTGTGATGGTTGTAGGGGTTGTTGGTGGACCTTTAGGAGAGAGAGAGAGAGGCGACCTTACATGATCCTTATCTTCTCATATATTATCTCTCTCTCTCCTCCCTCCTCCCTCCTCCACTCTTACACCCCCCTTCCTCCTCCCTCCCCTTCCCTCCCCTCTTCCCTTCCTCTCCCCCTCCTCTTCCTCGCCCTCCTGAGCCAGAAGATGAAGCCACACCCCAGGCTAAGAGGTTATATCGAAGGATCTGATCCACACCCTGCCCTGTACCCTGTTTCCTGTCCCATGTTTCCCCGTCCCATGTTTCCCCGTCCCATGTTTCCTGTCCCATGTTTCCTGTCCCCTGTCCTGTCCACTTTTGCCCCTTCCCCTTGCCCCTTCCCCGTCCCTCTTGCCCCTTCTCCTCAAATCCTTCTGCCCATCCTCCACCTTCCCTTGCCCCCCTTTACCTCTTCCCAACCTCTTGCCCACCACTTTTTCTGGAAGTAGTCACCTTTCTGCTTGCTGAACGGAGACACAGACAGACAGACAGACAGACAGACAGACGGACAGACAGACCTCATCCACATCTACTACTACTACATCAACAAAACGACACACACACACACACACACACACACACACACACACACACACACACACACACACACACACACACACACACACCACTACCCCCTCTCGGTCTTCAGTTCTCAGTGTAGACTTACTAGTGGTCAGTGAGGGAGTGCCAGCCATGGTCAGTGGTGGCAGAGTGTTGGCAGTGGTGGTTGAGAAGGGAATGCAGTGGTTTTATTAAGCGTCGTAGTGGTGGCAGAAAAATGTGTGGTGGTAGTGGTGGCAGAAGTGAGTGTGGTGGTAGTGGTGGTAGAAGTGAGTGGTGGTGGTAGGTGGCAGAAGTGAGTGTGGGTCGTAGTGGTGGCAGAAGTGAGGTAGTGGTGTAGGCAGAAGTGGTGGTGGTGGTAGTGGTGGTTGAGTGAGTGGTGGTAGTGGTGGCAGAAGTGAGTGTGGTGGGTAGTGGTAGAAGTGAGTGTGGTGGTAGTGGTGGTTGAAGTGAGTGTGGTCGTAGTGGTGGCAGAAGTGAGTGTGGTGGTAGTGGTGGCAGAAGTGAGTGGTGGTGGTAGTGGTGGTAGAAGTGAGTGTGGTCGTAGTGGTGGCAGAAGTGAGTGTGGTCGTAGTGGTGGCAGAAGTGAGTGTGGTGGTAATAGTAGTGTCACCAATCAGTGTGTTTATTAATAGCGGTGGTGTCACATGTCGGCGGTGGTGTCAGGAACCACTATAGTGGTAATGGTGTCAGATATATGTGTGTGATGATAACGGTGGTGGTAGGGGGGAGGGGGGTAGACAGGTGAGTCACTATCCCTCATTAACTGGATATTATATTTAATTACCTACCTATTACATCAGTACAGGTACAGTAATTTGCATTAGTGACGACAACATAAAACCTGTAACCTAGGAAATATAAACCTAAACCATTAACTTAACACAAGTAAAGGTTAGATTAGGTATATAATTAACAAGGTAAAAAAAATCACAGGTGAGAGTACGATACAGGTGTTGTGTCGAGGTACGATAATTCTCCCGTAAAAACGACACCACAAATTAATACGTTAGCTCATCAGTGTAGTGTGTGTGTGTGTGTGTGTGTGTGTGTGTGTGTGTGTGTGGGTGGGTGGAGGCCTTCTAAGTGTGTGTATTACATAGATTGATCTCAGAGGTGAACTGTCTGCTGGGTGAGTGGCCATTGACGTATCCTCTTACTCCTCCTCTTCCTCTTCTTTCTTCCTCTTCTTTCTTCCTCCTCCTTTTCTTCCTCCTCTTCCTCTTCCTCCACCCCATTCCCCATCCTCTTCCTCCTCCTCCTCCTCCTCCTCTTCTCTTCTTTCTCTTCCTCTTCTTCCTCCTCTTCGTCCTCCTCCTCCTTTCTTCCTCCTCTTCCTTCTTCTTTTCTTCCTTCTCTTCCTCTCCCCTCTTCCCCTCCTCCACCCCCTCACCTCTCCTTCTCTCTCTCAGTCATTCCGGTTGTTAAATTTTTCACGTCAGCTGATATAACAGAAAGGGTAAACAAACAAAATGGCGTCAAAATTCCACTAAGACTAAACTGCATAATACCGCATGGGAGCCAGAGGTATAAAATGGCTTCAGAATTACACAGAGACTCTACCGTAAAGGACAATTGATTGAACACGGCGATAAATAATTCCAAAATGGCGTCATAATTGCCTTGTGACTATACGGTGTAATTATAGTTGTTACGTTATGTTTTGTTTCTTTGTTTACGAGGAAAAAATTAACGTAAGGTTGTTTTAGTATTGATGTTTAAGTTGTTCAAAGGTTAGGAAGCCTTACACACCTGTCTCCTACCCCCCCCCTTGCCTCACCTAACCGTGGTCAGTGTTACATCATTCTCCCCCCCAGCTGGTAACACTGTCGTCACTCAATCCGTCTAGCTGGTAACACTGTCGTCACTCAATCCGTCTAGCTGGTAACACTGTCGTCAGTCAATCCGTCTAGCTGGTAACACTCTTCTCTCTCTCTCTCTCTCTCTCCTTCGTAGCTGGTAACACTGTCGTCCTCTCTCTCTCTCTCTCTCTCTCTCTCTCTTTCTCTCTCTCTCTCTCTCTCTCTTTCTCTCTCTCCTCTCTCTCTCTCTCTCTCTCTCTCTCTCTCTCTCTCTCTCTCTCTCTCTCTCTCTCTCATTCGTAGCTGAACACTGTCATCATCCTCAATCCGTCTAGCTGGTAACACTGTCGTCCAGTCAATCCGTCTAGCTGGTAACACTTCGTCACTCAATCCGTCTAGCTGGTAACTCTCTTCCTCTCTCTCTCTCTCTCTCTCTCTCTCTCTCTCTCTCTCTCATTCGTAGCTGGTAACACTGTCATCACTCAATCCGTCTAGCTGGTAACACTGTCGTCCTCAATCCGTCTAGCTAGTAACACTGTCTCACTCAATCCGTCTAGCTGGTAACACTGTCGTCCTCTCTCTCTCTCTCTCTCTCTCTCTCTCTCTCATTCGTAGCTGGTAACACTGTCATCCTCAATCCGTCTAGCTTTGGTAACACTGTCGTCCTCAATCCGTCTAGCTGGTAACACTGTCGTCACTCAATCCGTCTAGCTGGTAACACTGTCGTCACTCTCTCTTCTCTCTCTCTCTCTCTCTCTCTCTCTCTCTCATTCGTAGCTGGTAACACTGTCATCACTCAATCCGTCTAGCTGGTAACACTGTCGTCACTCAATCCCTCTAGCTGGTAACACTGTCGTCACTCAATCCCTCTAGCTGGTAACACTGTCGTCGTCAATCCGTCTAGCTCAATCCGTCTAGCTGGCAACACTTTCCCCCTTTCTCTCCTTTCCATTTACTGGCAAAACTGTTTTCTGGGAGATAAACAGACACAGACAGACACACAGACAGACACACAGACAGACACGAACGACAGAACGAACACAGACAGACACACAGACAGACACACAGGACGGACACACAGACACACAGACACGGAACACAGACAGACACACACAGACGAACACACGAACGAGACAGACAGACGAACACACAGACAGACACACAGGCAGACACAGACAGACACACAGACGAACACGAACAGACACACGGACAGACACACAGACGGACACACGAACGGACACACAGACAGA